AAGTATACTCATCCAGTGTAAATCTAAATTTGGTATCACCATGGTATTTCTTTAACAATTAAAAATATGTAACTCACATAGCTATTTTATTTTTAAAATATAAAAGTAATGTTCTAAATCATTTGTTTACATATTGCATTTGTGATTCCACTTTTAAACTTTAAAAGTGTTACTTTAAAAAAAAAGTATTGCACAACAAAAGTGAAGAGTAACAAAAACTGTCTAAAAAAGTCACAGTTTCAAATAGATTTTGGTTTAACTGTTAAAAAAAAAATATGTATATATATAAATATATATATATATATATATATATATATATATATATATATATATATATATATATATATATATATATATATATATATATATATAATATATATATATATATATATATATATATATATATATATATATGTATATGTATATGTATATATATATATATATATATATATATATATATATATATATATATATATATATATGTTCAAACTTTTAGAGATAAAAAATTTAAACTTGAACCTCTTGAATAATGGCAAAAGTTCGAATGTTCAAACCTGAACATGTTCGAACTAGAAGCCCTAGAATGAGTTCTAATGTCAAAACATTTTTAATTAGAAAATTTCTTAATCACACATGTTGAGTAGGGCAAGAAGAAACTTGCTTTTGAAATTCAGCCCAAAACATTCCTATTTTTGCCAAGTCTGCCATTATGGATTTTGTAGTTGTACTTTTTAATGAATAATTTAAAATCTAGTGGAAGAATGTGGCTAAAAATGAGTACCTGACTATTTTTGAGGGTGCTGAAATCAAAAATGTAAAGCAAACAGTGAAATTTAAATTTTATGATGGTTATTTTTTAATTTTAAAATGGTCAGTTAATTTTATCTTCAACTCCTTCTCTTCTGATTCTTCACTTGATGCTAATTTATGTCTGCATTGTGGACAAAGTTTTTCACCTGGCACTACAAACTTGCCTTTACTGCATAAGTACTTTGTTAAATCCAAGTTGATTTCACGAAGACTGCCTAAAAAAAGGGAAGAACTCTTTTAATATGTATAAAATTGTAATAAAACTATTTTAAATTTAAATTTGTATGGCATTTAAGAGTGATCTTTTAGAAGTCAGCTAAAAGTAAGACTAAATATAGCTAAAATAAATTGGCTGCAAAGAATTTCATTTTTGTAACTCACAACATTTTCACAAAATAAAAGTTGTGATTACTATAAATACCTTTTATAACTTTGTTATGAGTATTAAGTGGATTGCAGCACCGTGTTAATTTAGTTGCATAACGCTTCTAATAAACATGTTTATGATGTAGACAAGTTGTTAGTTTTACATTGATTATTGAGAGCCCAGTCCTCCACATTAATATATCTCTTTCATACTCAGGAATATCTTCAAAAGGTTCGATTCCAAGCAACGTTGTATATGTTGCAAGATGACATTAACTTCCTAGCTTGATTCCAATGGAGCACTGTTGGCTGTTTGCCATGACTAAGAAACTGAGTTACTAAATTCTCTAATTATTTAATCTAAAATTAAAATAATTTTAAGTTTATGGTTACTGGTTTTTTAAAACTATATTTATACAACATATCTGACATCACAAATCTATATTTATATATGACAGCAGGCATTGTAAAACTATTTTTTTAAATGACAATTCGTTTTTATATATAAAAACATTTATATATAAAAACCTACCTCAATAAACTTTTTTTACACATCACAACTGAACCTATGAGAGTCTTGTGATCAGGAAACTTGTGAAAACCTTACCTCTTTTGTAATGTGCTTTTTTACCATTTTTTTTTTAAAAAAAACAGTTATCTAACATTTTAAATTAGGTTTTTTTTTTTTTCTCCTTTGGGTTCAGCATCTTCAAAAATGGTCAGGTACCAATTTTCAGTCAGTTTCTTTGACTAAAACTTAAATTATTTACACCTAAACTATAGCTAAAAAATCTATGAAAGAGAATTTGAGTCCAAATAAAAAAATTTTTTATATAAATTTCAAAATGATATATCTTTATAATGCTTTAAGAAACCAAAACCATCTTTTTTATAAAGATAGCCTAGGATCACCTACTTCATTTGAAAAAAAAATTGAATCCATGAGACTTGGGCAACTTCGGGAGTTGATGAAAGCACAACCCATGATAACAGAACAAAAAATTGGACTGACCATTTTAGAATCAAAAAATAACCATTATAAAATTTTAATTTTAATATTTGATTTACATTTTTGAATTCAGCACCCTCAAAAATGGTCAGGTACCCATTTTTAGCCTCATTCTTCAACTAGATCTTAAATTATACATTAAAAGTACAACTACAAAATCCATAATGGCGGACTTGGCAAAAAAAGGAACGTTTTAGGCTGAATTTCAAACGTCATAACTTTTGAACCGTTTGATTTTGGGAGCTCAAATTTTACAATTTTTGTTACATTGATAGGTAACACTGGGTAAAATTTGAAAGAAATCTGAAAGGGTGACTGAAAAATTTAGATTTTTTGTCCCAGTTTTACATGGAATTACCCTGCATTGATATAGTGAGTTCATTTCTTTTAAATATTTCAACAAAATGTTTTTTGATTTTTTCCATTTAGGGACCACTCATATTTTCAAAATTTTCTGTCATTGCTGTATAATCCGAAATCATTTTTATTATAAAATTGTGTAATTTGAAACAAAAGGTAAATTCCCACAAGTTCACAAACTTCAGCACCGACAAATGCTCCCATTGAAACATCAAATAAACCGCTTGATTTTTTAATCCAAACTTGATCATCATTAAATAATGACTTCCTTGCGTGATTGATCAATGATTTATGATTAGGGTCAATATTTAGATACTGCTCAGCAAAATTAATAACGCTGTTAAGAAGTTTTTCTGTTATCAAAGGTTAAAAATCAAGAATATCAAAAATAAGGAATTTATAAAGGCATTTATCACTGCTGTGATTAAACCAGTTTGTGGTATCTTGTATTTATGTATGTATATATGTTTTTACAACAACAAAAATAACAATGCGACAACTGAAACCTTCGGATTTCAAACAAATAAAACAACTTGAGCACTTTGAAGCCGAATTATTTGCTTTAGTAAAAAAACTTCCACCGAATTCCAAAAAAAAACGACAACTAAAAAACAACATATCAAACATAAAATCAAATTCCAATATCTTAATATTTGCAGACAAAACTAGCAATATTTATGAGCTACCCCCAAAGACCGCGCTAAACTACTGAAAGAATATATCACAAAATCATATACAAAAGCACTATTAAAACTTGAAAATGCCATAAACCTTGAAGCAAAAAGCATACCAAAAACAATAAATATATCTAATAAATCTAAAATAATTGCCAAATCAGAAGCGTTTATTACACTGAAGGGCCATAAAATCAATTTCCAAAACATAAAACCCTGCCACCTAATAAATCCAGCAAAGAGCGAACTTGGCATTGTAAGCAAAACCTATTTAGATAAGATCAATAAATACATAAAAAATCCATTAAAATTAAACCAGTGAAAAAGTACCACTGAAGTCATCAAATGGTTCAAAAATATAAAAGAAAAGAAACACTGCACTTTTATCCAACTCGACATCACTGAATTTTACCTCTCAATCACACCCACTATTCTGAAAAATGCTCTAATGTTTGCAAAAAACTTATAAGAAATCAGAACAATTATCCATTGAAGAAAGTCTTTTTCAACAATGAAACATTGTTGAAAAATAACAACGTTATTTTTCAACAATGAAACTTGGAAGAAAAAGTCAACTAACAACTGTCACAATGGGTTGCTATAATGGAGCCAAGGTTTGCGAGCGGGTTGGTCTGTATATATTAGATATTGTTACCAACAGCAATATGGGCCTTTACCAGGGCGACAGACAGGTAGTAATGCGTAAAAAATCTGTCACACAGATAGATAAAATCCGAAAAAATATAATAAATTTTTTTTAAAAAAATTGGCTTCCAAAAAGAAATTGACAAACCTAACAATTGCTAACTTCTTAGATGTAACGTTTAGCCTTGAAAAAGACTAATATCATTATTTCAAAAAACCAAATAACAGCCTAATTTACATCCATACTGAGTCCAAACACCCCTCACAAATTAATAAACAAATTCAGATTGCTATCAACAATAGGTTATCCCAAAATTCTTCTGACAAAAAAATATTTAACTTAGCAAAGGCAGAATACAGCGAAGCCCTTAAAAGAATTGGGTTCAAAGATTTCAGCTTTAAATACAACCCTAAAATTAATACCAAAGTAACCCCCAAACATAAAAGAAAAAGAAATATAATCTGATTTAACCCACCATACAACAAAAACGTTCTCACAAATATAGGCAAAACTTTCTTACAATTAATTGACAAACACTTTCCAAAACCAAATCCGCTTCATAAACTATTTAATCGTAATACAACAAAAGTCAGCAACAGCTGCACAAGTAACATAGCAAATATTATAAAGAGCCACAACAATAAAATTATTTCAATGAACCCAACAGCCACTTTAGCTTGCAATTGTAAACTAAAGGAAACCTGCCCTATGAACAGAAATTGCAGGAAAAAAAATGTAATTTATAAGTGCATTGCATCATTCCCAAACACACAATGGTACAAAACATATGTTGGTTCAACAGCCAGATAGCTATATAAAAGTCTCGTTTCGATATCAATATAAATATATAT